GACCCCTGGACCCCTGGACCCCTGGACCCCTGGACCCCTGGACCCCTGGACCCCTGGACCCCTGGACCCCTGGACCCCTGGACCCCTGGACCCCTCAAACACCCAACCAATCAACCACTCAAGGGGTTGGGTAGGACTGGATGATGGTGGAATATGATGTGGATTAAATGAATGGATGAAGGAATAAGCTATCTTACTCATCCACACATTCGTAGCAGTCTCAGCCATCACTTTCTTCGTAACGTATCGTATTTGATCTTCTGTGGCTAACTTCATCAAAGTCATTCCATATTGCTCACACGCTTTTTTCGCATTGCTACTTGTCATAGATGAACTACCAGCCTTGTAACAATATCCCTTGTGACACATTAAACCTGCTATAATCAATAGTTAGGGTAAGCTTGTAGTTAAGTGTACCATTATATTACAAAGCTTATGAAATGTTTTGATGGAAAACTTAAAAGCGCTGCTCAATGCTATTCAATGCTAGGCGAAAGCCCAACATGAAATTGGAATTYAGCAGTTGATTTTTTAGGAGGGAGAAAAACCGGAGAACTCTCCAGGCAAGACTCGAACCCAGGTCGCATTTGTGAAAGCCGACGCATTCTCATCGCACGTCACCCGTGCTTCTCAAAATCGTTCAGCAATAACTCATTTCATTCTATAGTTAGGATAGTACGTGCGCGCTAATTGGTCGAAAACTGTGCTTTATTAGTGAACGGAGCACAGTGCTGATCGACGCTATGGCGTACGCGAAGTGCTTTTCCGACAGTTATTGAAACAGTTTACGACWAATGTTTATATTTTGCAAACGCAATGCATTCTGGGATAGGCTACACTCCTCCGGCCAGAAGTAAAAGGGAAATATCATTTAAACATTTCTTTACTTACTTCGTTTACAAAGAGGGTTATATTCCCAATTACAGCGTACAAAACACCAGCGTTGGCCTGTTTGACATACGACTACACAGTCCTTGGATGCATCGTTATTATTCTTCCAGATGTTAGTGTAGGGAGAGCTAGTTCCGTCTGCCCAAACAGAAGTCCCTTCTATGCTTTTATCATTTAAACCTGTGGAGATGAACAAAATCAAGAAATTCACTTTTTTTAAATCATTTATTTTTATTTTGATAAGGTGCATATTGCTAGGTAAATTTCTCAAACGTATTTTAAATTCATAAGCTCAATACTAGTGAGAACGACTTTATCAAAGATTAAGTTTCACTCAAGTTTAGATGAAGACTTAGAAACTCATCAAGGTTATTCTCACGTTCGATCATCGACTACCCTCATCGACTGACCTACGAAATCTTGAGCTAGTGTCCCTCCTTGACTCCATGACTTTGACATACTGTCAATAACTTGTGGGAGCCTTTTTTGTTTTTAGACTCACTGCGCCGGTATGGCAYACGACACCGATGTACAAACTCATATCGATCTATATAAGATTGATGTTCATCACKTGTATGGTCACTCTAATTCGACCAAACGTTTGCGAATTATTCCAGGGTTTTTTCGAGCTGTTTCAATAACATTCCTAAGTTTCAAACAGTTCTACAATATATTTTATGAATGTCCTCAGTTATAAAACACTCCTACTCGTTTATTAAACACGATATACTGTGTTCACTGATATCTTACATTAATATTCATTCGTAATGTATTGCTATATCTACTCACCGATATATGCATTTTGAACACYAGCTTTTGACAACATATCGGCAATTTTTGTTGTTTGGTCGGAGCTTGTGATTGACGCTAATTCAGCTCCTATTTTCATACATGCTTTATGTGAATTTAAAAAGTTTTGTTTTTGATTTTTCAGCAAATAGAAGCATTCGGTTTCTGAGCATCTTATCRAAGATTCTGTTGAAAAATATAATATATATTCTAGTTATACAATAGTTTTGAGTGGCGTAAAATGTCGAGCAAGGGATTTGTATGATATTCGTAGAATACACATGAGTTTACACATTCTAGTGCTTAATACGCGCTTATAGTACGCGGTTATCTTTATAACCCTTTCTCACATTTTCAAAAGTGTGGTATAAAAAATATATATCGAGCAAATGTATAACATTATATCATAGACCTGTTGTGAGATTGTGGTCAAAGTCCGTACAAACATCTTAAAGCATCATCTACAAATATGTTTTACAACCACCACTCTCCATACGGGGCTCATCCGTAAGGTTCCCTCCACTACATCCTATATTTACACAGGGAGCAAACAACACATCAAACAAAAATAGAAAAACTCAATTATATTCCAAACATATTTTGTATCATTACTTTGGTTATCGATAATAGTACGCATTACCTTCTTATATGCCAAACATATTTTGTATCATTACTTTTGTTATCGATAATAGTACGCATTACCTTCTTTTAACCTGATCTTTATCTCGACAGCCTTTAGATTACCCGATGTACCAAGCAGTTTTTCCCATTTGATACCCTTCCAGTTGGTTCCACTTGACTGTGCATCATATATATTATTCAAATCAGCATCTWTGCATTGCTTGTACCACCAACCACCCTGGAACTTAGTTGTGCAATTAATGTTACCGGGATCATTGTTTTTGTCTTTCGTTGAAAACACAGCTCCGTTGTGGAACAAAAACGAATCCCCCGCCGTACCAGAATATCCACCAACACTGAGCTTATAGTTTGCTTGTTCGCTAGCGATTGCAAACGTATCGTAYTTAGCGAAATAATAATGTCCAGAGAATTTTTCCATTTCGATCAGTAGTTCTACTGGGGAGGAAGTCATAAGGTGAAGGTTGTCGTTCCCGATCCAAAATTCACCTTCAAGGTCTCCAAAACCATGTTTGTACTCATCCCAGGTTCGATAGAAATCGACTGTGCCATTGATTCGCCGTTGTATAACAGTCCATCCACCACCATGGCTCATTTGATCACAGTATAGGGGCATGGCCGGGGCGTTTGGCAAAGCTTGAATGTTGTATATTCCATTCTTTTTGTTACCTTTCAGAAGAACGTCTAAGCATGTTGTGGAACTAAACACTAAAAGCACAATAAGGTTACCTATCAAATGTTTAATTGGACGATATTTGTGTTTAAAATGTATTAGGCCAGGATACGAAAAATGACGATTTGCTCGAAGTTT